GTGTCCTTAAAGCGGTGTGTTACGCTAACAGTGGATACGGTGACCATTGCCACCACTTGTGATCTGGTGACACAAAAGCTTGGATTTAAAACAAAACACTGTTTCACTGTTATAGATTGAATAGCAGTCAGTGTCCTAAAGGGTGTGTTACGCTAACAGTGGATACGGTGACCATTGCCACCACTTAGATCTGGTGACACAAAGCTTGGATTTAAAAACAAAAAACTTTTTTCACTGTTATAGATTGAATAGCAGTCAGTGTCCTTAAAGCGGGTGTGTTACGCTAACAGTGGATGTGGTGACCAGTGCCACCACTTAGATCTGGTGACACAAAGCTTGTATTTAAAAACAAAAAACACTTTTTTCACTGTTATAGATTGAATAGCAGTCAGTGTCCTAAAGGGTGTGTTACGCTAACAGTGGATACGGTGACCATTGCCACCACTTAGATCTGGTGACACAAAGCTTGGATTTAAAAACAAAAAACTTTTTTCACTGTTATAGATTGAATAGCAGTCAGTGTCCTAAAGCGGGTGTGTTACGCTAACAGTGGATGGTGACCATTGCCACCACTTAGATCTGGGTGACACAAAGCTTGTATTTAAAAACAAAACCACTTTTCACTGTTATAGATTGGAATAGCAGTTAGTTATCTTCAAGCTGGTGTCAGGCCTACAGCCTGTGCTCTGCATCAACTGTGCCAGTGCACATTGCCACTCATATCTGGTCTCACAGTAGCTGCACGCATAGTGTACCACTAATCCCAACAAAAATGACAGGCAGGAGGGTAGGCCAGATTTCGCAGGCCATCGTGGTCGTGGTGCTGTGATTCCCTTGGCCCTAGAATAATGCCCAGTTTTCAGAGGCCACGTACCCTGAACTTGAAAAGTTCTGAGGACATAGTTGACTGGCTAACACAGGACACCCAATCTTCTACAGCCTCCGCTCAGAACCTTGACGCACCATCCTCCTCCAGCTTAGCTTCAGGCACCTCTCAAGATACCACTCACCTGCCTGCCGCCACAACCAAAACTAGCACCACAGCCGCTTTACTTGGTATGTCAGAGGAGTTATTCACACATCCATTTGAAGAAATGAGTGATGCGCAACCATTATTGCCAGAGGATGTAGATAACAGGGATATGTCTCAGGCAGGCAGCATTACACACATGGACGTACGGTGTGATCATGATGATGATGTTGTACCCGCTGCTGCTTCCTTTGCTGAGTTGTCAGATACAAGTGAAGCGGTTGATGATGACGATGCGTCCATGGATGTCACGCGGGTGCCCGCTCGTCAAGAAGAAGAACAGGGTGAAAGTTCAGATGGGGAGACAGGGAGGAGGAGGAGACGAGTTGGAAGCAGGGGGAGGTCGTCGCAAGGAGCTAGTGGCACAGTCAGACAGCATGCATCGACACCCGGGGTCAGCCCCACAGCACGCCAATCAACGCATGCTGTGTCCACCACCAGAATGCCGTCATTGCAGAGCTCAGCAGTGTGGAATTTTTTTTGTGTGTCTGCCTCTGACAACAGCGATGCTATTTGCAACCTGTGCCAAAAGAAACTGAGTCGTGGGAAGTCCAACACCCACCTAGGTACAAATGCTTTGCGTAGGCACATGATCTCACATCACAGACGCCTATGGGATCAACACATGAGTACAAGCAGCTCGCCACGCCAGCCTCCTCCTGGTCCAGCATCTTTCAGCCACCGCCAACCACTACGTCCTCCTCTCAACCATCCGCCACTCCGCCCCGCTTGAGCAGTTCACGGCCATCTTCCCACAGTCATGTGTTCGTCGTGGTTAATACAAGGAGTGAAGAAATATCGAAAGTCACCCCTTGCCTGGCAGCGCTCAGACCATAAGCTTGTCCGAACTATTAGCCCGCCAGCTTTTACCATACAAGCTGGTGGAGTCTGAGGCGTTCAAAAATTTGTAGCTATTGGGACACCGCAGTGGAAGGTACCCGGCCGAAATTACTTTTCGCAAAAGGCAATCCCCAACCTGTACTCAATTGTGCAAAAGGAAGTAATAGCATCTCTGGCACACAGTGTTGGGGCAAGGGTCCATCTGACCACTGATGCCTGGTCTGCAAAGCATGGTCAGGGCAGGTATATCACCTACACTGCGCATTGGGTAAACCTGCTGACTGTTGCCAAGCATGGAATGCATGGCTCTGCAGAGGAGTTGGTGACACCGCCACGACTTGCAGGCAGTCCTGCTGCCACCTCCTCTACTCCTCCTACTCCATCCTCTTCCATAAACTCCTCGGCTGAGTCCTCTTCTGCTGCTGCGTCTTGCTCCACATCAACGGCACCCCCCCAGCTCCCCAGGTAATATTCCACATCCCGGATACGGCAGTGTCACGCCGTCTTGGGTTTGACTTGCTTGAAAGCAGAGAGTCACACCGGACAAGCACTCCTGTCCGCCATGAACGCACAGGTGGAAAAGTGGCTGACTCCGCAGCGACTGGATATCGGCAAAGTGGTTTGTGACAACGGAACAAATTTGTTAGCTGCATTGAAGTTG